AGAAATTATGGATCCCACCATTTATATCACTTATACTAAAAATTTATATTTTTGGCAACCAAAACAATTTTGGAGCTAAAAATACTTACGGTGTCTGGCATATTGGTATTTTGAGAAGTATGTCAAAAATACAAAAAATATTAGTATGCTGTGATGCTATAAATCATTCAAAATTTAGATATGTATATATATAGTCAAATATCACTAAATGAAACCTCTCTGAATAAATACCTCTCTAAATGTATAAACACCTCTTTAAATACAACTCCTCTAAATAAATGCCTTTCTAAATGCAACTCCTCTGAATAAATATCTCTTTAAATACAACCCCAAGCTCTAGTCCAAATATATTTCTAACCCCCTATAGATGCAATTTTTCTTATTGTTCGCTAAATACATATCAGTAAAGTTCAGTCTCAACAAGTTGCATTTAGAAAAAATTAACTGTATTACTAGAAGTAAGGTAATGATTTTAGATAACTTGATAAAAATTGTGCCTCAAAGTTTCTTAAAAACAATTTCACAATAAAAAACAGATATAAATATAATAAAAAACAAAAAAATTGGCATATTAATATTTAATCATATACCATTTCTCAAAGATGATCAGTAATAGCCCTTATCAAGTAAGATTTAAAGATAATACTAGTTTTTGTTCTCCAAAATGCTTCTAAATAGAACCTACAAAATTTAATAGATCTTGATAGAGTAAACATTCTTTCAGCACTTTGTAAATTCAATAGCTATAGAATCAAATCTCTATAAAATAACTTGTTCAAAATTTTTGTAAGGCCATATAAAGTTTATTAAGTTGATTTTTCATTTTACATTACCTGATCGATTCATTTTTTTAAATTTTTTTTTTTATATCCTGCTTATGTCAATTATTTAATTTTGCTGTTTATTTTTTTCTGTCATTTTTATTCAGTACCACCCAATAAAGACATACTTTCCTGTAATTATAGGTGGGTTCTTTGAATATCTGTTATAGCTATTCAATAAATGTTCACAGGTTTTAATTGTCTATGGATGATATTGAATAAATATCTATATTTTTATATAGATATTCAAAATGACCAAATAGATTAGATTCAGTGTTGTGAGGGTTTCTATATCTAATTGTTTTCAAATTAATAGAACATATGTCCAAAACCAATTGGACATATGTCCAATTAATTTGAAAACAATTGGACATAATAACCCTTACAACACTAATTAGATTATTCATATTTAATCCCTGAATTTCATATAATTTAAAGTTTATTGATTTGTAAGTTTTGTGTAAATAAGCATTCACTTTTAATTGAATATTAACAGTTACTCCTATAGTCTTTAGAACTAAATAAAAAATATTAGTAATATTAGCTGTATAAGAAAAATAAATATAATCTTATATTATTGATAATAATTTCTTGCATAAATCAATAGCAGAGATCATTAATATTATATATATATTAAAACTAGTGAGAGATTATATCTGTCACAATTGAATCTAATATAAATAATTAAATTCGTGATTGATCACAAGAGAGAGAGATTCACTTTGGATCAGGTACTGTCTTAGCTGTTTGCATGAATCTAAGTATAGCAGAATCTTAACTTTCTACTACTTATCAACCTAATTAAAAAATAAATATATAATAATATTAAATTACTTTGGGTTACTAATAGAGATATGAACACAATACCATAATTGGTCATAATTCTATTTAATTACAGTAAAAAAATGCTATAATTCAAGATAATTATAACAAATAATGGCATTGCGCTTATATCTCTAGTTACTAAAAATCTGAGTCTAGTAAATTTATTTACTTTACTCATATCAATTCAAATAGTAGGCTTTTTGACCTTCTTACATCTGACAAATTTGGTGTAATAATTATATTAATCTAATATATTGTATAATTATGATATATAAAAATAAATATTGACATGTATATAAATATTTCTTCTTGATAATTGATTAAATACATAAATACATTTGCCTGTAAATTCAATTTCTTTACTCGTTGCTATCAAAAAATTCTACTGCATCCATGCCCTTATCTGTATTTTTATCAGAAGAATCTACTTTATCCACATCCTCATCTGTGTCTTCATTAGAAGAATTTTCTGTATCAGCATCTTTACAAGAAGAATTAACTTTTTATCTGTATCCTCATCTGGATCTTTATCTAAAGATGATTTGTTAAACAATACAATAAAAAAACCAAAGGGTAGGCCAAAATTGAGTAGTTGGGTTTGGTTGTGGGGTGAGCATCAAGAATTACCTAATCAAGGTGGAAGAATTTTTATATGCACGAACAAGTTATTAAATTAAAAAAACTGTGATTCTAAAATTACAACAAAAGGTTCAACTAGAAATATTATTAATCACTTAGCGACTATATATCAAATATTTAAAAATACTTTCTTACCTAATACAGTAATTAAAAAGCTTCTTGAAAGCAAATCCCATATACCAATAATCCAAGAATAGCAAAAGCATCTAGAATCGCTTCTTTATAAGTAGATTATTTTAGATTCTCTACCTTTACAAGCACTTGAATTCTTTTCATCTCAACGTTTCATCAACAATCTTAATTCGGATTTCAATATTCCTAGTAATAAAAGATTCAAAAATAAGATTTTTGAATCTAGAAGTTATGTTAGTTAGAAAGTCTCAGAAATATTAAAATATGAAGCAAATTGGGTATCACTTACATATGATTTATAGATCTCGTTCTAAGATGGGGTTCTTTGGAGTTATAGCACATTTTATAATACCTAATTTTGAATTAAGAGAAGTTATCTTAGCAATTAAACATTTACTATATTCTCATACAGGTAACAATATAAAAGAAGCTCTTGAATCTATTATATATGAATAAAAATTAAAAGATATGGTATTCTGTTGTACAACTGATAATGGTGCCAATATAAAGAAAGTATTAAAACAAATTTCTTGGCTTCAAAGAGTTTTATGTGTGGCTCATACTATTCAGTTGGTAGTTGGAAAAGAAATGTTGTCAGCCAAGGTTCTAATTGCAAGAGCAAAAAGACTAATAAATTTTTTTGCTCGTTCTAAACAAAATGAATAGTTACTAAATATTCAAAAACAACATATGTATAGGATGAATATTGAGGAAGAATCTACAAATGAATCGCAATTAGTTTTATATTATATACTTACTGATTGCGAAACAAGGTGGCTAAGTACTTTTTATGTTTAGGATCATCTTTTAACCTTAAAACTGTTTATTGATATTCTCTCTACTGCTATAAATATAAAAAATGTTGATTATGAAACTAAAAAAGATGGAAAACGTTTAGAAAAAATTAATTTAGCTCTTAAAGAATAGTCAATTATTAAAGATATTATACCTATTCTAAAACAATTTACTGAAGCTATAGAAAAGTTAGAAGGGAGTCGATATTCAACTGTGAGTTACATATATTCTGCGATACAAAAAATAAAATCAAATCTAAGTCCTTTTTCGAACCTTACTGATAACAATAAAAATCTGAATAAATTAGATTATGCATTTGATGAATAACAGATAGAGAATGATATAGAAGAAAATGAATCAAAAGCAAAATAAAAAATCAAAATTAATAATCCAATTAATACTTTTGGATTAATTAATATGATTAAAAGTAAGCTTTATCATGCACTAAATTATTATTATGATGACTTGAAGCTTGATAAACTTGTTGTTTTACTCTTGGATCTGTGTTAAAAAAGTTTGTTGTTTATAACTGAGCAAAAAAAAGTAAAACAATTAATGAATTGTGATATTTATATAAAAATGAAAAGTCTGAATATTATGGAACAAACTTATCCAAAAAACAAGAAAGTAAACCTTTACACAAAAAAACAAAAAAAAACAAAATTATATAGTAAAAGTTTGTTTAATTCTTTTAGTTCTAATGTAGATGAAGTTGACAGATATTTGGCATTACAAAAAATTCCAAAGAATCAAGATGCACTTATTTGGTAGAAGAACAACAAAATAAATTTTTGTATTCTTTCTAAACTAGCAAGAAAATATCTTGCCTTTCAAGCAACATCAGGTGCTAGTGAGAGACTTTTAGTGATGCTGAAAATATTATGACAAATAAAAGAATATCTCTAAAGCCAGAGATATTCAAAACTTTAATATTTCTTAAAAGAAATGGTCCAGTAGTAGGTGGAATCTTTAACTATGATAGCTAATACAACAAATAACTTTGAGCATTTTAAGTTTATAAAATATATACTAATAATATGTATACATACATATAATAAATAAATATTATTAATTGCTAATACAAAACATTGCTACCCTTAATTTTTTTTTAAAAAAAAAGAAAAAAACATGCATTAACAATTAGCAGTTAGTTATGATCTAGTTTGTTTGAGTAAAATGATACATAGTGATAATTAAAAAGTAATATTAAAAATTTTTTAATAATTGCTATTATACTTGATTAGAGAGACCTGTGTAATGAATAGTAGTATACAGTTTGCCAATTATGATATCACTATAAATATCTAATGTGATACTAATCATCATATATTTGAATTCAAACTATATATATATTGCCACACCTGATCTTATATATACTATACTGTCTATAATACCACGGTCTTATTCAAAAAACTTCCAAACCAACTTGAATAATACTTGGGTTCTATATATATATACAAGGAGAAAATTCTATATCATTTATATAGTAACCAGTCAATTAGAGTAACAATGCATTGCACCCACAATAATGAATACATACGTATAAAATTTACATATTAATGTATTTGCAGCTAATTGAAATTTTAAACAAAAAACAACTAAGTATAAAAATAATTATATTTGTAATTAAATTAATACTAGTAAAAATCTTTACTATAAAACCTGATGACTTTAAACCTCAAACTATAATCTTGTCACTACAAAATTCTGATTACTATGAATAAAAAAAAAAAAGCAACTGAAAAAAATACAATAAAAACTGAAAAATCTAAAAATAAATATTTAATTTTATTCTATAATACTAAAAAATAGTCATAAATGGCTTTTAGTTATAGTGCTGCTACTTTGCTTTAACTTTCCTTACAAAATCTATAAGCTCTATAACTTATGTCTTTATATTATTTGCCTATATTATAGTCAAATTTCTTTATTAGTTAAGATAATGAAGAATAAGTTTTTACAAATAAATACTGTATAAATTGCAAAATTGATTTACTGTGTCTTATAGACTAAATCTAAATGTTTAAATGTACCTTTTATCTGACTTCTGGATTTACCGAATTGCTTTGACAGCTTATAAAGCAAAACAGTAAACTTTCTAACTTTTTGTATTGCCTTTCTTGAATTTATATTCATGGCCCTGAATTTAGCCCACTATGCTCTAAAATACACAGATATTCATTAAATATCCACAATTTAATCTGTAACTATTTACAGATTCTGTATAACCAAATGGTGGGTATTCAATGAATATACATCTTTATTCAT